CTCGAGGTGGACAGAAGTTGACTTGGCGACGTGAAATGAAGCCACTGACGACAAAACTGGGTGCCGTTGGTCCGTCTCGCCTTCCGGGTTAGAGTCCACGTGACTCACCTTGTGCTTGGCTCGAGACTTTACAGGACATGGCTCGCAACCGACACCAGTGTCGCGTCTGCTGCCGTCTCCTAATCGGATTGTCTGTTTAAAGTGTGTTTGATGCTGAGTTATCTGCGGGGTAATGGCTGATTATGACGCGTGGCAGTGAAAGCCGCAAGGAAGCTGTCTCGCCGATGCCGCCTTATCTTTGCACGATAGCCATCTGTTTGTGACGGTATGTTGTCTACACAAGGTGCAGGCGCCTTGACCCTGAATGTTTGCTTATGGCGTTAGGGTTTTTTAGGGTTTTCAGGTAAGTCCCCTTCTCTCCTTCTTGCTATTCTTTATTCCACAGGTCCTCATGGTTGTATGGCAGCGAAGCATCAGTTCTAATGACTGATGTACTGCTGTTGTTGTTGCTATGTGAAACTCAGCTAAGCAAGGATTCTCTGGAACTTTTGAAACCTATTCAACCTGTGACATGAAGGTCTCCCGAGCAAAGTTCCCAGTATAATGAGCAGTAAGGATACAATCCTTATCATAGTCAGTTTGCGCACGTGTTCCGTCTGCTCGCAATAACGCGGGGTATAGAGAGTTTTGCCCCACTGCGTATTTTAACGAGAGCAAAAAACTTCTTGGGATTTGCTGCGACCGAGTCCGCTAAACCCTGCTCATATTGGAGACGAACAGTCCTGAGACGTTGCATACATTTATTTCTAATCTCTCGATAACTATCATAAGTACTGGCTGATGGAGCTGCTTGTTAGTTTCGCCAGCATCTAGACCGTTTCTTGAGTAGGCACTTGCCTGCGGTATCTCTCTATGGGGGCTGTGCCCGTAAGCCTCTTTTCCTCATGAGTGGAATATAGGGAGTGGAAACCGAAGGTATGCTTTAAGTTTATCCCGGGCTAACTGGACATAGTCGGCCAGTGGGATCTCATAGTTCAAAACTGAATCCTTAGCTTGCATTGCGCTAAAGTACACCCGCCAAATATTCGGAAGTAATTCAATGGCGGTCTGTTGGTGCCTTGAAAGAGTACACCGAAAGGATATGTATGCATGATCGCTGGACCCTAGAGCTGCATCGTACGAAACGTCAGTCACGAAGTCGAGGGACCTGACGAAAACCAAATCTAAAGCAGATGGTATTTGGTTGCCCAGATACCGAGTGGGTAAGTCCACGAACTGGTGCAAAGACACTTGGAGAGTCAGCTCAAGAAAGTCTGCACCGAAGGTTCCTGACGCCGAATTGCAAGATCGTCTAACAGACTTCCGGGAGGTTGAAATCACCTAGAAATAAACACTTATTCGCGGACTGAGGGTGAATAAAGTCAATTATCCTCTGGAGGAAATTACAGGACTCCTGTATATCACTACAACTGTAAACTGGGCAAAGGAATTGGGCATAATAGCCTATAGAGCTACAACAGTCTGATCCGACGGCTGCAATGTGCAGGTCCATTACACATCTAATATACAGCTAAATTTAGAGTACAACGCCTCTGCCTTGACGACCGACGGAGCGATCAGTTCTAAGCAGTATGTAGCCAGGTAAACATACCTCACCGTCCATGATATCCGCAGACAACCACGCCTCAGTGAAAGTAAGTAGGTCGGGACGAGTTTTGTCTACAACTAGACGGAAGTTAACTTCCGGTTGGTTACCTGAAAACCCACAAGACGAAGGCCTTACTCACCAGCCGCCTGTCTAGTTTTGAGGTTCATTCATTGGTTCATTGGTTGGCAGAGAGCAGAAGGAAGTTCCTTTGTCAGCTCCGTCACTTTCCGAATGTTGCGAAGGTTGCTGGGATCATTGCGGAACAAGGTTCCGCAGAAGACCGCTATAGTTGTTTGTGGGCAGCAGAACCCCTGCGCACTCAGAGAGTGGGTATTCAACAGTCGTTTGGAACATTCCTCTGTCTCCACATCGACGACAGCCTCCGGCAAGCTGTTCCAGCCATTCACTAACCGGGTGAATAGGGCTAGATCGGGCCGCACAGGGATTCGCCGCGGTTTGAAAAGTTTCCACCGGTGGCCTCGAGTTGCACAACTTGTGTTTAGACAAAAGAACACTTGCAGCTCACTGCCCAGCTAACCCCGCAGAATACGCCGAGCGAATATCATATCACCGTGGCGACGACGATAATCTAAAGGGAACAGGTTCAACTGTTGAAGCCGTAGGAGATAAGTCCCGCAACTCTGGAAAGGATTCGGATCCGCGACGTTGAACCTTCTCGATCATGTCACGTTCGGACTTTGTGAGAGGATACGCAGCAGGCAATCCGTACTCGAGAAATGGGCGCACATGCGAAGTAAACAGTAGTCTGAAGAGTGCTAGGGTCAGGTGCGAAAAGGCTCTCCGTATAGCGTGAAGTATTCTGTAGGTGGATGCGACCCACTTCCGGGTGTCCTCGATTGATTTGAGATCAGGAGATACAATCACTCCGAGATCCCTCACTTGGTCGACATTTCTGGGCAAGAAAGCCCCGATATGATAAGCCCCAAAAGGCTCAGGAGTACCGATTGGAAGGACAACGCATTTGTCACCGTTAATAGGCAACTGCCACTTTAGTGACCAACCATGGAGCAAATCGAGTGTCGCTTGAAGTCTATCTGCATCTTCCAGACTGGATACCTCAATCCACAGCTTCAGATCATCCGCGTAGATTAAGCAGTCGGTCTGCAGTTCGGACGGCAGGTCGATGATAAAGATATTGAAGAGTTCGGAGAGTACACTTTCCCACAAACCGCAGATCCCCGATAACAACAAGTCACCCTCTTGTGACCGTTGCCCAATCATCACAAATGCTTCTGAGTCGTCTAAAACCACTCCAGCGGAAAGAATTATGGACGATCAAGCGTTTTTAAAACGGATGATCTCCTTACTGCTCGACGAAGGTGAACCAGGAATCAACATCGTCTCGGCTTTCCGCCTTGGCAAGAAACAGGAGAACTCCTCTAAGATCTGTCCCTTGAAGATTGTATGTCAAAACGATGATGAAGTCCATCACATTTTCCGACGAGCTCCGCGTCTTAAAGGATAACCATTTTTCGTACTGCGGGACCTCTCGCCGGAGAATCGAGTAAAAATGAAGAAAGCGGTTGATGAACTCAGATCTTGCCGTGATAACGGTGAGACGGACCTACATATCGTGAATTTTTGTGTGCTTCGAAAAACGCCAAGAACTCGCTGGAGACCACTCCTTGTAATGCCCGGGCGTTAGAGTTGAAGAACGGACTGCGCGTAATTTCTTCCAATGTGCGCAGTCTCAGAAACAAACTAGACGAAACTCAGCTTCTTGCCTATGAATCGGCCGGATCTTATAGTTTTCAAAGAAAGCTGGTTGTCCTCGGATATCCTGGACTCGAAGGTGCAGATCCCTGGATACCACCTTTACCGGGCAGACCGCCATGGATGAAGACCTGGGGGCGGTGTGATACTCTATTGGAAGATAGACTTCAAGGCTCATCTGGTTGAACCTGCCTGTGGCAGCGATGGCGACTTCGAAACTCTCTGGGGCCGTGTTCATGACGGATGCAAACCTCTCATGGTCGTTGTTGTCTACAGGGCCCCATTGGGTTCCGGAGCTTGACTGCTGGATGCGATCAAAATGCATGGTGGAGGCAAGCACTGCTTATTATTGGGTGACTTCAATGCCCCGAGTATCGACTGGGACCAACTGCAATGTGTTCCCTCTTCAAACGCTTTTGATTTCGCTCTTTTAGAGACGGTTATCGAATGTAACTTATTCCAACATGGCACAATGTCTACTCGTATAATTGCAGGACAAACACCCCCATATTCTTGACCTTGTACTCTCACCGGCACAATCGGATGTCACCGGCCTAGACGTTCTTCAGCCCATTGGTAAGAGCGATCACTGTGTGGTTGCATTCCTCTGGACTCGACGCCTTACTCTCCACAACCAAGGTCGCCGCAGAAATTTCTGGCGTGTTGATCCCCAACGCCTAGAAACGGCCGCCAGTACTGTGGTCTGGAGTATACCCGAACCCCTGGATCTGGACGATGAGTGGAACCTCTTGTACTCCAAAATGATTTCGCTCGTTGAACAGGTCGTTCCTGACTACAAAAGTCTGAGTGAGTCTAGATGTGACAAATTTCTACCTATCCCATTCAACTCCCACTACTACTCTTCTGTAATCAGTACGCAGACCAAACTGCTTATAATGCCATAAGTTAATTGGCGGCCTAAGTTTGGTAAGCTCGTCGCTTAGTGAGGGGGCTACCCTGCCCTCTGCATGACAGTAACGTGTAAGTCAGTGGATAGTGAGCGGCGCTATAGCACATCTAGTAACTTATGTACTATGATCGTTGCCGTCCCCGTAGCTCAGTGGTCTCAACCACTAACGCAACATTCGAGTCACAGGTTCGAGTCCTACCAGGGTCCGATAGGAGGCGCACTGCTGACGATTCCCGAAAGGAAGAAATGCGCGTACAGTGCTTTTCCGAGCGTGTGGCAGCTGTCTGAGTGAGTCTAGGTTTGAGGAATTTCTACCTATGCCATTAGACTCCCCCTACCACTCTTCTGTAAGAGACTTTTTGTCAGAGGTCCTGCATAGATTGATCGAGAACTGAGGGGCCTAATGAACATAAGACGAAAACTGTGGGTTCGATTCAAGCTCACGCAATTCGAGTCTGACTACTCGGAAGATAAAGGGGTCAGGGATATCTACAACTTGAAAAAAAACGAGAGAAACGGCAAAAGCACGAACTCGGTTTGGCTGTGCATTCCAAGGCGACTCCCAAGGCACTCTTCTCTTACCTGAAGATAAATACTAGAGCAGGAAGTGGTATTCCTGCTCTGTATTCCTTGGCGTATGTGGGTTTACTTGACGATGACGCTGCGAAAGCCAGTCTTCTGGCCATGCAATATTCGTCTGTTTATTCGATGGAGACGCCGTTTCCCAGTGAAGCGGTGCCAATACTCCCTTCTTCGTTGGAGCATGTAGAAATGAGCGCTGATGTCGTTTCCAAAGGCATTCGTGAATTAGATCCGAACTCCTCGCCGAGTCCTGATGGGTTGCATCCGCTGTTTCCCAAGACTGTGGTCGATTACATTGCCGCTCCTGTTTGCCGGGTATTTCGGCATTCCCTTGAAGTTGGACGGCTCCCGAATGCTTGAAAAGTTTGGATTGTTAAACCCATAGACAAAGGAGGGGATCGTCAAAATCCTGCCAATTATAGACCCATCTGTTTAACGTCAATATAGTGTAAGGTAATGGAGAGGATTCTCAAGCGGGCACTTCTCCACTTCGAGAACCTAAACGTCATCTCTTATGCACAGCATGGTTTTCGGAGGTCACGGTCATGGTTTTCGAATCTGCTTGTGGCCCGTGAAAGATGGGCGAAATCATTAGACGCTGGGAAGCGTCTGGATGTTATTTTTGTCGACTTCAGCAAGGCCTTTAACAAGGTTCCTCATGAAAGGCTCCTTCACAAACTACGATTAATCGGTGTTTCTTGGAACGTTCTCTCTTGGATCGCTGATTTTTTGGATGACCAGACAATGCGAGTCGACGTGAACGAGACTTACTCCGTTCCTGTGCTCATGACTAGCGGTGTCCCACAGGGATCGGTCCTGGGCCCAGAACCTTTCAAGATCACTGGATCATTGGATGACAGAGAGCAGAAGGAAATTCCTTTGTCAGCTCCGTCACTTCCTAATCGTTTCGGTGATAGCCTGGATCACTGCGGAACAAGGTCCCACAGAGAACCACTGAAGCTGCATTGAAAACAGCTGGATCCCCGTAAACTAAAATGAGAATTCAATAAATGCTTGAAACGTTCCTCGGTCTCGGCAACGACGATGGACTCCGGAAGGCGGTTCCAGTCATTCACAACGCGAGTGGATAAAGCCAGGCTGGATCGCACTCGATCACTCCTCGATTTGAACAGTTTCAAACTGTGGCCTCTTGTTGAACTCCCTGTGTTGAGATGAAAGAATTCCTGTAATTCCCTCCCCAACTCTCCTCTAAGAATACGTAGGGTGAAGATCAAGTCTCCGCGATGACGACGGTAATCCACAACAATGACCTCCCGGCGGAACTTCAGTTAATAATAATAATAATAATAATAATAATGTGTCACCTGTACGCCGTAACGGCGCTCCGCTGCCGCGCGAGCACCATCAGTCGCGCGCGGGCTGGGTATACCGCGAAGACGCCCACCCCTACGCGGATTCGAATCGGTGACCTTATGGTTGCGAACCAAACGTGTAAACCACTCGGCCACCGGCCGACGACTTGAAGTTGTGGATGGAGGTATCTTGACGATGCAGACCGATTACAGGCTACAGTTGATACGTTACATGAATGGTCAGTCAAATGGCAAGTGCCCATAAATCGCGATAAGTATCCGGTCCTCCCCATTGGTGCTCCTGAGCCTTTCGGGACGTACCACATTTGTGGGGAGTTGCTCAGAACCTCAATCCTTGAAAAAGACCTCGGCATGTTGGTGTCATCTGATCTACAGACTACACAGGACACGTTACAAAGGGTTGCTGCTGCCAACAGGATGTCCCATGCCATACAAAGGGCCTTCTCGCATTTAACTCTGGATATCTTCCGACTATTGTTTACTTCCCATGTCTGCCCCATTCTCGAATACGGATTGCCTGTCGTCTTCCCTCTCACCAAGTTCGAATGTGACCTCATTGAGAAAGTTCAACGGCGGGGATCGAAATGCACCTCGGAGGTACGGTACTTGCCTTATCCCCTGAGACTTCAGCGCATGAACCTGTCCTCCCTGGATTATCGCCGACGTCGCGGCGACCTGATTTTCAGCAGGCGCATCCTGAAAGCAGAGATGGGAAAGGAGCTGCAGGCGTGTTTTCAATTCAATGCAAACGGTTCAACTTGAGGCCGCAACTGGAAACCGTTTAAACCCAGAAGGCTCCGGGTTCATCCTGCTCTCGCTCTATCAACTCGCGTAGTCAATGATTGGAACGACTTACCGAAGCATGTGATCGATGCCCAGACTGAGGAATGTTTCAAGGGAATGTCAGATACTTATTTTTTGAGTACGATGGGCCCTTGCAGCTTCCACTGTAGATGTCACGGTCCCTTGTGGATTACCGCTTAACATCGAATCGCGGACTCAACACAATGATAGGGAAGCGATGTAGCTGACAAAGGATTTCTCCTTCTGCTCTCTACAATCCTATGATCCTAGGAGTACAACCCTGGGGGACCTCACTGGTCATGAGAACTTCATCAGAAAGCGTGTCGTTAACTGTAACCTCCATGAAGCGACTATATACGAAATCGGAGATTCAAGAAAAAATGCCAGCGACGCCGATTTCCCGGAGTTTGAAGAGGAGCCGCTCATGCGGGACCTTGTCAAAAGCCTTACTGAAATCAACAAACACAGCATCCAGACGCTTACTGGCATCTAAGGATCTGGCCCATCTTTTTCCTAGCCATCAGCAAATTTGTGGCGCATGAACGCGCCATGCTGGGCATGAGAGAGGAATTCCAACTCATCGAGATGAAGGCGAAGGGCCCGTTTCAGAATCCGTTCCATGACTGCATAAAATCGAAGTCAGACAGATGCGTCGATAGCTGGCTGGATTCTGTCGGTTCTCTCCTTTGTAAATAGGTTTAACGACTCCCACTTTCCAAGCAGTTGGAAGAAGCCCGACTTCAAAGGAACGACGGAAGATTTGACAGACAGGAGCGGCAATGTGCCTAGCCACGGGCATGAGGAACAATGGGTGTAAACCAGCAGAACCAGGCGAGGAATACGGGTCTAGGTCAAGTAAGTTTCATTACAACGTCAGTGGAAACATTCACGTGATCCAACAGGGAAGGAGTGCGTGCAACGCTATCTGGGAGTGGCGTTTCGGTCGAGTAGACAGAGGAATATTGCTGGGTCAAAAGACTAACTTTTTCAACGTCTTCGTAAACTAGGTCCAAATGCTCACAGGGAGACAAGGCAGACAGGGCTGCTAGCTTTGGTGCTTCGTTTGAGGTATGAGAAGAGCGCCTTGGAGTTTGTACTAGAAAGTGCAGCTAATGACATTTCGTACTTTTGGCGTTTCTCGCGTTTTTTTTATGTTGCAAGCATTCCTGACCGTCTTGTAGTGGCAGTAGTCAAGCTCAAATCGCGTAATTCTGAATCGATCCCACAGTTTACGCCTTCTTTTCATCATTGATCTCAATCCGTGATCGATCCATGGAGGGATTTTGGAGAAGGGTCTACCTTTGGAGACGGGGATGACCAGTTCAGTGAGTAACGTTAGCTTGGAGTACAAGTGATGCCACGCTTCGTCAACATTGATGTGTTCAGGGATACTCCAATCGATAATGATTGCGGCCGTTTTCAGACGAAGTGTATCGGCACGCCAGAAATTCCGACGGTAGGCACGTTGGCTGTGAACAGCGAAGCGGCGTCAACTGGAATGAGACAGTACAATAATCACTGCTGTCAATGCGCTGTAGAACTGAAAGGTTCGTGATGTCTGATTGTGCTCGGGAAAGCACAAGATCCAGGATAATGCGGCGTCTGATTTGGAAGAATACGAGTAGCTGTCGTGATATTTAGAGCAAATTACACTGAAGAATTGTCTCCAGTAAGTTGGCCTCGAAGGACTCAGTAGGTCGGTCACAAAGAAGCAGGTTCCAGTCAACAGAAGGAGCACTGAAATCCCCAACGATAAGACAATTCTTTCGTGCACCATGCTTCCTGATCGAGTCCATCAAGTGGGCTCCGGATCCTGAAGGTGCTCTGTAGACGACACCAAATGTGAGAGAACTCCGTCCATCATGAACACGACACCAGAGTGTCACAGATTGTTTCAACTACGTGCACTTTGATATCAGTATTCCAATAGACCATTATGTCACCGCCGGACCTCCTTGTCGATCGGATTGAGAGAGGTGGTAATCGGGGATAGACACCTCTGGATGGCCAGTTCAGTTCAGATGGGACTGGAACCATAGGAGAATCCCGTGAGTGTTCCATCTTGAGTGGATCGTTGAGCCAGGAATTGATGAAGTGCTCAGTTATCGATGGATCTAAAACGAAACACCCGTATCGCACCCTGGCCAACCAGTTAATGCCCACGTTTCCTGCCCTAGCAGTCCTTGCTGTGGCAGTCACGTGAAGTAAGCAAAGGATAGGAAGAGAAATCGAAGGTACAGAATAAGGAAGTGCACTTTAAATAAGAAAATAATACCAATGCATGAAGAAAAGTAGAGAAAAGAAAATCGAAGTACGAAGATGCCAGTTACTCAGGAAAATGGAAAGGTTTCGTGTTACCACCCAAGAGCGTCAAGTTGCCGCTCAAACCCCTTAACCGTAGATTCCCTGATAACACTTTCCGGAAGCATGTTCCAGCGGTCGATAACTCGGCGTGACAGCCGAGTTTCCTCCCTAATCCAATCGGACCGCGGTTTGTCCAGCTTCAAGGAATGACCGCGTAGAACAGACAATCTAGCGGGACTTAATAGCTCAGATAAATCTGCACCAACCTTCCCAGTTAAGATACGGTAGGTTAGGATTAGGTCTCCTCTAAGCCTTCGGTAGTGCATTGAATGCATTCCCAAACTAAGTAGACGCTCGGGGTACGTCCGTCCCCGTAATCCCTCGACTAACCTAGTACCCACTCGTAAAACCCTCCATTTTGTCCCGGACGAGGCAGGGCGGACAAGCCTGGACGCAGTATTCCAGATGAGGCCGAACGAAAGCTGAGAACAGCCACGTAAAGATGCCGACCGTCAAGACTCCGAAAGAACGTCGAATTAACCACAACATGCGGAAACCTCTGTTTGCGGCCTTCTTCCAGTTGTCGCCGGAGTGTAAAGCCGAATAGTGTACGACGCCTAGGTCAATCTGGCTAGATACAAGGGGGAGTTCGACCCCACCGACCACGTACTTCGTAGGAGGACAACCTCCTCCAATTCGAAGAACGGAGCACTTTGCCTGATTTATGGGCAGTAACTATAAAGTAGACCAGTCCCAAATCCTATCCAATGCTCCCTGAATAGCTTCGGAACCCCAGGAACATCGACAATGTTCCACAGCTTCAGGTCATCATCAAATGGCAGCGATGGTACCTCAAGCTTTGCGGGTAGGTCATTCACATAGATAGAGAACAGCAGCCGTCCAAGGACCGAGCCCTGCGGCACGCCACTGAGGACAGACTGCCTAAACGATAGGCCCCGGCTTACCCGTACACACTGTTCTCTACCCTGCAAGAAGGCAGTCACCCAATGAAGGGCGCGTCCAGATACCCCGCAGGAGGACAGCTTTTGCGCGAGCCTCAAATGTGATACCTTGTCAAATGCCTTAGAAAAGTCGAAGAAAAGCACGTCCAGCGCGTGGCCGTTATCCACTGCATCCGCCCAACTTTCGCGAGCCACCAGTAGATTCGTCAGACACGAAAATCCCTTCCGGAATCCGTGTTGCACATTGCTAAGTAGATTAAATCTACTCAGATGACTTTCCAATGAATGTCTCACCAGTTTTTCGAGGAGTTTGACTACTACACTCGTCAGACTAACTGGCCTGTAATTCGCAGGCAGATCCCTGTCCCCATTTTTGAAGATGGGACAGATTACAGCTTCCTTCCATTCGGAAGGAAATGCACAGCTGTCAAGCGATTTCTGAAACACATTAGCCAGCGGTCCACTTAGTTCCGCAGCCAACTCATGTAACAGTTTCGGGTGAATTAAATCAGGCCCAGAGGCCTTAGAAGGGTTAAGCCCTTCTAACAGCCTACGAACTTCCGTC